CATATTTATCATTTATAAAACTAATGCGAATAAAAATAAATCATTTTTCGTTATTATTTTCAAGAATTTTTAATTTTCTGGAACCATTTTTCATTCAATTCCATGAGCTTTACAATTTTCTTTTTAAACTACATTAGTGCACAAGGTTTTTGAAAAAGATGACTTCATGCTTTATTTTCTTTTAAATATTCATTCTAAATATGTAATTTCCATGAAAAAGGCTTCTAATAGTACAGAAAAGTTTTTGAAGTAGTTTCAACGCTGCGCATAGGAGAATTTTAAAACTGTATCACTTAACATTTTACATGATCCCCGTAGAAAAGGAATTCCAGTTAATGACGAATGAATTAAATACGAATAAATGTTAATAAATTAAATACGCATGACATTAAGTACTAGTAAATTAATACGAAAAATTCTGCATGTTTACATGCGGAATGAAATTCCAAGAGGAATATGTTGGTTTTCTTGGCCAGATTTAGATAGAAATATATAAAAAAATAATTCTGTTTGTTTTGGAATTTAGGTATTATTTTTATTGGTTAAAAAGCATTATCGTTAAATTTGTGTGACTGATTGTATAAAAATACTCACTGCATATTTACCAATGAATTTCATAATGCAAAGATCCGGAACTTTCTGCACAGAAATCATCGCAATATTCAAAGTGCTTTCAGAAAATTCTCATTCTTATTTTGAAATTTTTATATCTGGAAGAACACCAATATTTGACGAAATAAAAACACCCTTTTCGAAGAGTATACATTGCATAGTTTCATTAAAATCCAGCAAACAATAACAAAGAAACAAATTCGATTTTACCACTTAAATCTTCTTCTCCAGTGCACATGAAATATACATGACAGTGTCATAGCATAATCTTTGAGTTATTGTTCTTACATGATTTGTCGGGATAGGTTCTATTGTTAAATTTTCAATTCGTTATGAGTGAAGACATTTTCATTTCATCTTATTGGCAGCCCACAATCCTACAAGATCTCTCTAGCAGGCTTTATCAGATATTAGTTTTCAATCAAAACATTTTCCCACCTGTTATGCTCACATGAGGTCGACAATCGATATATAATACGCTATAACTGCATTCAGAAAAACCTCTGCGGGCGAAATAAATACAGATTTTTAAGCATGGATTAAAATAAAACCGGAGGCATCGCATATTGAGATAATGTTTTTTATTCTGAGCTTGGTTAGAATTTGACTTCTGGTTTATAATTATATAGTAATATTTGTCTTGATAGTTTGGTAAGGTACTTTAAGGGTAAAATAGTTGTGAAACAGTATGTGACTAAGATCGAATTATTATAATTAGGAAGAATTTTATGCTGCTAAAATTAACAGTGGCCTTTAGGCTACAGATTTCAAACACCACATTTTCCCAGAACGTTTCATTCAAGGAATACCAATTAAAGAGTATCTTTTATTTTAATATCTTCTTGAATAATTTTCTAGAAAATATTCTATTCCAGTAATTGATAATTTATGTTGCAATAGTCTACTTTATTTTTCTAGACTAACGCAGCTTCGCATAGAAATACTGAATCTTATATTCTCAGTTATACTGAGAAAATTACCACATTGACTGATTTTATTGCTCTGACAGACAGTTATAATTACCGTAATAACTGACTAATGCAAAGAGGCCTCATTAGACAGCACCATGCGTTATTTAAAAAAACTGTGTATGTTAGAGACACTTAATCTTCTGCATGTACTACATCAGCTATTCCTACCATCTCGCATACATTAAATAATTTCTGCTTTACCATATTTATATAGCAATGCAGTTTCTTTTGATGACAGTGCGTTAGCTTACTCACCAGTAGCGAATAAAGTTATATGATCATCACTGTTGTTAATATTTCTGAGCTGCATGCACTTAAAACTGCTAACATATTCAGTCACTGTAGCACTTTTCCACTTTTTAAGAAAACTAAGAGACTGGTATAGAGGTTAACGAAAGGAATACGGTTTCAGTAGTTTAACTGTGTTACCTTCTTCGACTATGACTATAAGGAGAGAGGGCACCAGAAGCAGAATGAGATAGAGCCTACGACAACCTTCTGTCACCCACAATGACAATGAAGGATAATAGAGAAAAAGTTTTTTTTTTTCTTTTTTTCTTCGATCATAATGATTTTACTTTGCGCATCATTCTTTATTACTGCTCTCAGATTCGAGATAGTTAACGATTATATCTGTTTCTTGTTTCTTTAAAACTGTTGTTAATGATATTGCTGATTGGAAAAAGCTATAAAATCGCAAAACGAAAATGTATTTTCATAGCTCTCAAAAGTCCGCACAAGACAGAATTTAGATAAATTAAGGACAAGGGAAAAGTTCTATAGCTGTTACTCTGCGGCTAATTTTTTCTCTTAATATTCCGAATGCTATAATTTCTATTTACAGATTCTATTGAACCACTTAAAATATCGTAATAATAACTTAAATACTTAAAATATCACTTAAAATATGTCAATCGCATCGGATATGCTTTAATGTATATAGGCTGAAATGGACCGTTGAATGAATATGTGTGCCGTGACAAAAATCTTACATAGAATATCTGCAATGAGTGATAAAAAATATGAGCACATAAAGTTAAATTTGATGTATCGTAGTTAAATATAGTCAAAACGGTTAAATTATTTGTTGCACGGATTTGTAAAGGATGATTCTCCGTGACTTTTGCTGCATACTTTTTCAGAAAAGAAAAAGAGCGAGTCTATATCTAGAAAATAGAATGTATCTATTTTCATGTTCCATTAGTTCGAGAAGTTAAGTTATTTTGCTGTTGAATTTAATATGAAAAGTCTTCCAGTTTAAAACGTAAAATATCTTGATAAAAAATCGGCTGATTTTACACATTCAAAATGAACGATATCAGTTAGAATTAGCTACTGAATTCCTATCAGTCCTACTCCTGTAGAAAATCGGAAGTTTTATTGTGGTCTTGGTACCTGCCTGAAATGTTACAGTGTCAGAAGATTTATGAAAGTTTCATAGAAGAACTAGAAGCTGGAATTCTTCAATGAGCAATGGTCTGAAAGTAAGAGGGAGTACTAACAAATATTGAAATGGTCTATTATATTAAAATCCGTTAAGATATTTTTTCATGCACATTTTTATTATGTCGAAGTGTCCAAAGACCTTTTAACCGACGATTAAAGCCTTTTTATTTATTTGTTTATAACATACAATATATATGATATACATAATATATAGATAGATATAGATATATAGATATATACATACATAATATATATATGTATGTTTATAACATACATATATATATTATGACAAAGAAAATGTTCCAAGAACTTTGTTATATTTTAACGGTTTTATGAAGCAGCCAAACTTCATTTTGTAATAAAGTAACGAGAAATTTATGTGTCAATCCGCTTTATTTCCGTTAAATATTAGATATATATTTTTGGAAGCAGGAAAGATGAAAAAATAGTAAACGCCTTCGCCGGGAATCGAACCACGGACCTCTGGAATACCGGCCCAGCGTGCAGAACCACTACACCATGAAGGCACGCTAGGAAAGCGGGAGAAATACCTTATAACTTTTAAGCGTTGCTATGTATATTTTCGCATAGAAATTTGATAATAAAAGTCTAAGCAAACACTGATCAAAGACAAACGTGCTAAGACCAAAATAATAATAAATATGATGAATGAAGCTTGTAAATGAATTGATAAAAGCATTTAAAGATTCCTCGTGCAACTATTGCTAATAATTATTTCCAGAGAATCTATAAATCAGGATTTGAAAGTAGCCCTTTTATTACCCTTCAGAGTAGTAGAAAAAAGGATTTCGAAAGTAGCCCTTATTATGAAAAACGGTAGAAAAGCGCTGCTCAGCTAAATATCGTTATATTTATATTTTTATTGAGTATCTATAGGATTATTGAAGAAGTTAAGCAAAAATCAGCGCAATGTTTGTAAATTCTTTGCACTTTGGCAGCTGAAGAAGCTGGTTATGTATTTAAATTGTCGAAACTAGTCCTGAAAAATTTACAAACATTACGCTGAATTCTGTCTTTAAATTCTCCAATAATCGTCATTTGGCGTGTTGTTTTAACCTAATCTATAGGAATAAGTAGCTAATTGTTTAACTAAAATGTTCTCCTAAATGAATGAATTCACATGCAATTTTGCTTTTTCAAAAACAATTGAGAAGTCGAAGATGGGAGATCTTCCTTGATAATGGTGAATTACTTTTAGTTAGAAGGCAGTTAAACTTTCCGTAAAGAAACTAAAAAACTTTTTACAATCCTTGATTAAGCTGTATATTCAACAAATAAGTCTTATTAATTTTATTTTATTTTAAATCGCAGAGTATGTTAAAACGATTGTAATAGGCGAAACATTTAAAGTTAGTTTTTCCTTTTAGTAAATATAAATTGTTGGGATAACAAAGAATAATTTTTTTGAGTTTAAATAGTTTTTTCGTTTTTTTTTTTTTTTTTTTTTTTTTTTTTTTTTTTGTTGTTGTTATACTTAAATATTTTCAAACTGAATATTTTACTATTGGATGGAAACACCAAAATTTTCCTATGAAAGTGTGTCCTGATTATTAAATATTCTTACGTAACTAATTTTTTATTAAACTTTAGTCAATAACAGACCTTTAATTTATACTTTGTGTGGGTATTGTAATACATTTTCAGGAGAAAATTTAGCGTAATATTATTTTTTATTATATTTTTAAATTTTAATTTATATTTATTTATTCTTTAATCATGAAAACGGTAAATTAGTTATAATAATAATTTCGTTGTGTGGAAGCAAATTTGGCAGTGGATATGTATTTTTAAAATAAGAAATAATTCACACATTACCCAAGAACCGTTCAGTTGCCGTCTTCTGGGAAACATTAGATTCCTATTTCCTTTTTCAAATACTAGTAAATTCGTGTTTAAAGTCAGTAATAAAAAGAATTCAAATGATTTCATAACTATTCTAGTATATTTTACCTTTTATTAAAAAGTTACTTTGCATATAAAAGCCATATAACCAATGATCTGCTGAAAAATTATCCAATCATCATCATATATGTATGAAATTTCTTGAACAAATTCCTGGAAGCGCAACTGAAGGTATTTCTCCATTTAACCAATATTATCTTCTAAATGTTGATGGCTCATTCATTCCACGGTATTCTAAAATCCATTTCTAGTTGCATCCACCGATTTGTGGAGATAAATCTTCTCCCATTATATGGTAACTTCTGCATCTGGAAACAAAATGAAGTCTTTTAGAAAAGTATTGAATGCAGCAAACACTTAACTACCGTTTTAAAATATGCCTAACATTGAATAATTTGTAGGACTTGGAAAAAGGTTCACTTACCTTCAATAAAAACTTGAACAGGTATCCATCTTGTGAGTTGTTCAATAAGCTTTCGTCGTGGTAACGCATCTGCGAATTTTAGAACTTAAAAAAAGAAATTTCAATCAGACGACTTACCTTGGTATTTAAAGTAGTCCATAGATAATTTCTAAATTATCCATTATCATAACGTTTAAAAAATTTTAAAGCTAACAAACAATTAAAGAAACATTATTTTAAAATAAATTTCTAAAGTGGGAAATATTTTCTGTCAGCATAAAATGAGAAGTAATAAATAAAGTCTTGCTTAAAGAAATAAAAGTGTGTAACTTGAAGAGAAAAGGATTTTTCGCTGAAATATTTGCGCCTGAATTATTAGCATAGTTTTCCATTAAAAACTTCAAATGCTCTCAAAAAGTGTCTGAAATTTAAGTACGATAAAATTTATTTGAAATTATGCTTTAAGATTTCGCCTTTTTTAAATGAATGAATTCAATGAAAATGAGTATATTTGTGAGAATACTAGCTTAAGTTACAAGGAAAGGAAGATAAGAATTCCCGATGTTAAGGATACATTGCGAAATATTTGGTAAGACTCTGTATTCTTTTCAGGTTAAAATATTGCAGTGCAGTTTAGTGTATTTTGTATCATATATCCGAATTCCCGATTATCAAATTTTTAGCTGCAATTTCTGAAAGATATCTCCATAATTACTGGCAACAGTCCCTATTATAACTCACCGTTCGGAAATTATAGTACAGTCCAAAAAGAAACATTCTTAACTGAAACAAAAGTGAGTGGCAGCATTTTTTTAAAATAAATTTTTCTTACTTTTCGTATATCAGTCTGTTATTCAGAAGTGTTTTCTGATTATTGTTTTATCAAAACCAATAATCAGAAAAGGATTATTGATTCAATTTCAATATTATTTTCTTATTCTTAGCAATATGCCTTTCTACAATTTAGAAATACTGCCTCATGCCTTACCTTTGTGTTTTTCCGGCCGTTGAGTAAATAGAGACCGTTTCCAAAAGAAAATTTTACTAAGATACGTTATAATATAGAGAAACAAGAATCAATTATATACTCATTATAACTTAAACTCAGAATAAAACGATCGATTAAAAAATTGACATATCTCAAACTTGTTTATAAGACATAAGGCGTTGTATACGTTCAAAAAAGTACGTGGAAACTGATATATAACTGATGTATAATTTGTTTTACAAATCAGGTAGGAAAAATATACGTTATAATATAGAGAAATAAGAATCAATTATATTGAACTTAAACTCAGAATAAAACAATGGGTAAAAAAAAAACTAACATATCTTAAACTTGTTTATTAGACATAGGGCGCTGTGTAATGTTTAAAACGCACGTGAAAACTGTTATATAATTTGTTTTACTAATCAGGTAGAAAAATGTTCGTTATAATATAGAAAAACAAGAATCAATTATATAGAACATAAACTCAGAATAAAACAATCGATAAAAAAATATATATATCTTAAACTTGTTTATTAGACATAGGGCGCTATGTAATGTTTAAAACGCACGTGAAAACTGATATATAATTTGTTTTACAAATCAGGTAGAAAAAATGTACGTTATAATATAGAAAAACAAGAATCGATTATACAGAACATAAACTCAGAATAAAACGATCAATAAAAAAATTGACATATCTCAAACTTGTCTATTATGCATAGGGCGTTGTGTAAGTTTAAAAACTGATATAAAACTTGTTTTCAAATCGGGTAGGGAAAATATACCTTAAAGAGAAATATCAAAGATTATTATTTTTTTAAGAAAGTTCTTTTATGGGAAACAGTTTCTTGTTTTACAAAATTACTCAAAAATAAGTTCAGTATGAAAACAAGATCCAAAAAATACTGAAAGTATAATTAATTTTAATCTTTATTCGATGAGCAAAAGAACTTTTAACACGGTCCACGGAGCATACATATACAAATAAATGGAAGCAATTAATATAGTATCTACAAATTTATATATCTAGAATTACCATTGAAAATTAATAATGTTGAATAATCTGTAATAATTAGATAGAGTAATTTTAGATGTTACTTATCATAGTTAATGTAATCAAGATCACAAATGTGCAGGACAATATTCAACTTACGTAAAACAGTGAGATCACACAGCACGGTTCTACAAAACTACAACCCTTTATTCGATAAATACATGTAAATTAAATTATATAACTTATGGAAAGGTTATACAACCCTTTATTCGATAAATGCATGTAAATGAGGTTATATAACTTGTGCAAATACAGATTGAAAAAGCTCTCGGTTTAACGTGTAAGTTAGGTTACATAATTGCATGCTGAATATATCAAGTTTATAATCTTGAATTTTTAACTAAAATAGAGGAGGAAAATTTTTGTTGCAAAGCTAGTGAACATAGAATTTAAACTTTTATATTGATTTCACGTAATTTAATCTGCTGTTTGGAGATTTTCTAAACAAATTGGGTAAATAATATTTATAGTCATTATTTTCGAATTTTATGATTAATTATATAACTCAATACTACCATCTTTCAAAGAACTATAAAAGGAAACTTAATACATTTTCTCCTTCCAAAGGGCTTCGCTAAATTAACTCATTAAAATCTTTCTTATGGTGACGCTACTCTTTTAAGCCCCATATAAAGTATCTTCCTTGAAATATCATCTCATAATTCAATTTAAACCACGTCATTCATATGGAATGGAAAGTGATTCAGGTGTTACAAAAAGAAATAAGAACTTTAACAGTTAATTTTAGCTACCGAACACAACTCCTTCAGTCGGATGAGAACCATATCGATGCTAATAAAATCTGAAAAATAAAGCCTCTAATTCTGTAAACAGATAACTGAAAATAAATTTTAAATCATGTAATTTATATAGGATTAAGCAAGGATTCAATAAGCAGGAAATTGTAAATATTGTTTATATTTTACACCGTGATTTAAAATCCCCCATACCTTACCAAGGTGAGTGAGTGAGTGAGTGAGTGCACCGCTATGATGGCTTCCGACCACGGACATGAACCAAACGGAATTATATACCATCACGGCGGGGAAGACTCCAGAGTAACAAGGTTGTAACTAATAATAGTTTTTTACATATTGTTAACTGCAAGGCACTAAGCGTTATTCTGTTATCTGTTATCTGCTGAACTCAAGTTTGAACATTTGAAACATAATATTATCCACGGTTGTTTCTGCTTAGGCAGTGTCTTGAGATTTTCTCTATTTTATCAAGGGCTATTCTGTTTTTGAGTGTGTTAGTCGTCCACATTGGCCAGGCACAGTCCGCTGGTTTTTCTTTCAAGTGCCAGGTTCTTGTATGTACACAATGGAAGTAATAATGGTCCGTGTCGCCTTCCTCTCCGCATTCGCAGAAAGGAGTATCCCTAAGTCTGAATCTGTTCAGGTATACTGGGAATGGTCCATGACCTGTCAAGAACTGTGTTAGGCTAGCACAGTGGGTCTTTATTTCCATGTTAACTTTTGGCAGTAAGCGAAATGTCCTTCGTCCTACCTCTGCCTCTGTCCATCTACTTTGCCAATTTTGTAGCAGACTTGTCAAAGTTGTTCGCTTAATATGAGACCAAGGAAGTTTAGTTGGTCTTTCTCATATATCCGTACAGTTGGCTGCCTGCTTGGCCAGTAGGTCAGCGGCTTCATTGCCTTGAATCCCTGTGTGAGCGGGAACCCATTTTAAAGTGGGTCTTTGCGAAATAGGCATTGTCAGAAGCTGTTTCTGAATTCTGTATACCAATGGACTCCGGCTGTTTTGACTTGCGATAGCCGTCAGACTTGATGCCGAATCACTGAGTATGGAGAATTTCTCCTGTTGACATGTGTTCGCATATCTAATTGCAGCACTGATAGCTAGAAGCTCTGCTTGGTATACCGAGTTGTTCAAGCCTAATTTCCTTTTCCACTCGAATGTTACAACTCCATTTTCTAGTCTACAGAAGGCGCTGCCCGTGCCGTTCTCAGTTTTGGAGCCATCTGTGAAAAGGTTATTACTGTACCTCTGAATTGGTTGGTCGTTTATACTGATACCGTCAGAGAGATTAAAAGCTGCTGGATGAAAGTTATTGCAGTTGTTTTGCTCCTCGTAGTCCGAGTGGTGATAACTATGACCCCAGAGTGTTGAAGTTTGACCCAGCCTGTTGACCCTTACGATAGCTGCCTCCCTTTCTACTATCAAATCTAAGGGAGGAATTCCTGCTAGTTGTTGTAGGGCTAGTGTTGACGTGGTACGGTAGGCCCTGCATACTTGAAGTAGCTGCTGTCTCTGAATAGAGAGCAGGGATCTTTTCATATGAGAGGTAAGTTCACCACCCCAGATTGCTGCTCCATAAGTTATTACTCTTTCTGTAATGGTTCTATGCCAAATTTTTAGTAGCTTAGATGAGATACCACATTTATGTGAAGTCATGCGTCTCATGTTGTTGCTTAGGATGCTAATTCGAGTCTTGAGATTCCTGACATGTGGCATCCAAGAAAGTCTGTTGTCAAGTAATAGCCCAAGATATTTCAATTGGGGGAAACATTTTACCGGTATCCCATGGAGTTTAATGCTTGGGTTGCGTCTTAGCTGCCTGCTGCGTCCTATGAGCAAAGCTTTAGTTTTCTCTGCCGAAATCTGAAGCTTATGTGCTCTGGCCCATTGGGAGAACAGATCAAGACAGTATTGAGATCTTATTTCGAGGTTACTCCTTCCTGCCACAACTAGCATAAAATCGTCCGCATAGGCTATGATTCGAGCGTATTCTACGCTCTCAAACTGACGAAATGCCGAGTTTGCCACTATATTCCACAGTATTGGTCCAAG